TTCGTTGTTACCTCTCGGCTAGGCTAGATGATGGGCTTATATGCGAGGCAGCGGGACTGGAGGCAAGTTACGGGCTGGGGAAGGGGAGCGACCTCATCGAGGGGGCCAGCCCGGAAAGGTGAGTAGAAGACTTGCGGCAATATGAACCCGCAGCCGTGGGTGGCACCGTTGAAGCTACCCCAATCCTGTTGTGGTGGGCAACCTTATCCCAATCCTACTGCGTTCGACGACCACATTGAGAAGAAAACTGCTGGGAAACGAACAGAGAAGCCGAAGAACTGAATATTACTCACCTCGTGGAGAGCAGATGCCCCGCGGATCGGCGGTGAATCCTCGCTTGCTGGCATGGATCCGAGCCCTTAGCCAGCCGACAGAATCCGCACCTCCGAGCGTCGCCAGCCCCTTAGCCACGGATGTAGCCATCGAGCGTCGAGCAGCAAGGCGTAGTGGTGAGGCGGGAGGAGTTGTGGTCACCGGGGACCTTGCACTGCCTATGGGGAAGAACGCGAGGAGGCGGCGACGGAGAGTCGGCCAGGCGCAGCATCTGCGCAGACTGCAGCTTGGGGAGAGGCGGCAACGGCGAGTCAGCTGGCGCGACATCTGCGCACACTGCGGCTGGGGCAGAGGAAAAAGAAGAGGACGGAGACGGAGGGGGCGAGGCACGATTGAATTTTTCTATCACTGGAGCTTAGGGCCGAGGGGAGAGGAAGAGGATGAAGCGCTCTCATTACGCGGAAGCTAGGCGCTATATATTATTAACTGGCCCAATTTAACGAAGAGAGAGCGAATCGATGATCACACACGCACGAGCCCACGTGGCTGCACACGATTCATCAACAGGAGCAAAACAGTAATCAGAGCGCTCTCGTAACGCGGATTCCAGGAGCTATATGGAGTAGTATATATACTAGATCCTTACTTTTCTCTCTCCTCAAGCTACATACTCCCGTCCACTGAATACATGGCCAAGAGGCAACAGAAAGACCCTCCTCCCACCCTCACCTGCCCCTTTTTCCTCCCCACTCCTTTGCTAGGGCGCCATGGCGACTATCTCCATTGCTCTCTCCCTCGTCTTGGACCACTGGCTCCACCATGCCCACTCAACTCTGGCTACGCCAAACAAGGACTTGCGTGATGACGTACTCCTTGCAGTAGCACCAACATAGCAACCACCTATACTCTAGCACATTTTTACGACAAGACAGTAACGTTGCTTGTCGCCATTTTTTCATGAGAAGTTTATCACAAGTAAAAACAAATACACTCTCATCTGGCAAACAACAATGAAGTAGAGTGGCATTGATAGCATATCTGAGATCAAAAAATCACTTAACAGGGTTCTATAGTTTCTTTGGGAAGTCTTGGGGTGTCGATAGATGTTGGCGCGATGACATGACACTCATCAGTTGTTTGATGTAGTGGTGGCTCCAACAGACATGAGCAGTATTGCGATGAATCTAGTGACTTTTTAGGGGGAAAAGGCAACTACAAATATGCATTATAATACATAAGATGGTCCAAAAATATATATTTAGAAGAGGGGCCGAGAAATTGAACAACCAGTAAGAAACTTGGATAATGGTTTAATGATTTTATTGAGAAACGGAGGCTGGCCAAGAGGAAACCGAAGGCTACATTGATTTAGCATTATATTGATAGACACCGCACAATCATAGGATATGAGTGTGTATGTGAGAGAGAGGTGGCGATAGCTTTAAGCTAAGAAATTGATCGATGATAGCCGCATGGAGTTTGTACCGATACCGATGGATGAAATGAGGGTGTGTTGAGATAGGACCAATACAATCAAACAAAGAAATAAAACTATTAAAAATATTTTTCAAGTAAAAAAGTCTAAATGAAAAAGTTGAGATAGTTACTTGTGTATTTGCGTGGGCCACTTTTTTGCTAGTTATAAGAACAAAAGTTTGTTTAGGTGGGACAAGACTTTATATAGGGGAGACATTGTACATATGGAACAAATCATGCAATTTAGGTAGAACACAATATTTATATTTATACATAAGGAATAATTTTTTTTGCGGGATCACATAAGGAACAAAATTGTTGCACGCCTAGAACAGATCACACGATTCTGGCAGTGGGTTTCAATGTCCAGCAAACAAGCATGCCCTAAAGAACGAAAAATGGGCTGAAAGAACACCAACAATGTATTGTTTGAGTGAAGGAGAAATTAGCCCACAACTGATCCACATGGCTTTTACATTTTTTGGGGGGTACAGGGAGGGGGGCCATCGACACTGCCGAGAAGTGGCTAAACAGGCCAAATCTGAATTCTTCTTGGACAAGAAGAGCAAGTTGCCAGAATCTCTTGGCCCATCAAGATTACAGTCTCAAACTTTTAATATTTTTTTGCATTTGTAACTTGTATCGAATTTATATATATGCGGCTGTGCCCTTCTTATTTAGACCCTCTTTGGTACGACTTTGGTTTCTCTAAAAATCGTGAAGCTAGAAAAAGCATATTTTTAGGGCTTCGGTTTCTAGGCTAAAACAGCTTCAATTTTTTCATATTTAATTTGGTTTTGACTTGACAAGCCGTTTTAATATGGACATGTTTGACAAGTCTTTTGATTAAATCGCTGAAAAAGCGCCGACAAAAACCCTACCAAAGAAGACCTTAGACTTTAGGGAGCAAGACTGTTGGAGCTTGTCACCTGTTGCCCCGTGCCGTGCGGATTACTCCGGGCTCCGGCGTTGAAGCGACAATGGTTTGGTTTGAGAATGTGGCTTATAAACTTTTGCACCGACGGTTACGGTTACTTTCCATACGGCCACTGCTTAAATTGCAGATCAAGCAAGTTGATGGATAAAGATTCGTGAGTGCTAGTTTGTTTGTGAGTGCGAAACTTTAGGCTTTTTAGCATGCTGCTCAGAGCACATGAGATGAGAGAGGCGGTACCGAAGTTTTAAGATTGCAGTGTCATCGCTCGACCAGTCCTATCTAATTACGCTACGCGGCTCACTTAATCGCATTGCGTCTATTGTCCTGTTCGCTTGGCTGATAAGCCATGGTTGAAAGTACTGTTGACTGATTTGTTGTGAGAGAAAAATATTGTTCGTTGGCTGAAAAAGTACAGCTTATAAGCCAAACGAATAGGACGTTTCCATTAAATATTTGCGAAATCCTTATCCCTCAGCGACTGGTCAGATCCGGGATCAGACTGACCGAGAGCTCGTGCCGGAGCTACCGGCGTAGTGGCTCGTCGGCGCTTTTAGTACTTGCTTTGGTCCCTCCTGCTGTTTCAGATATGCATATGTATGATGTATCATCTCATCATCGCCTACCTGTTTCTTCAGTGCAGAAGTTTTGTACTCCACTATGAGCCAGGCCGAATCCCATCCCCATCCAGCTCCGATCCCTCTGAATCCTTTATCACGCAGCGAGCTAACGGATTTCATCATCATTCCTTTACGCGCTCATGGACTAAATAATGGGTTGCGGCGAACTAGTTTCATTATTCAGAGTGTGTGATTGCATTTTCAGGTTTTTTTTTTTACTGGTGTGAGATGTGTCTTTGACAGAGGACGAGTCATGCGGTGACTTTGACATTCCTAATATCTTATTGACTAGTCTCTCCAAGGTGCCCTATGTTTTCAAGAAAACAAATGATGAATTGCGGCACGCTGCCATCACCTTTTTCTGTCCTTCATCCTGTAATCTGCGAGCCATGGTGTGGCGATCGTGAGGCAATGCGCGCGCACCGGCATTAGGCGCATGTTTGGTTGGAAGCCCGGATGGCTTGCCTGGAGAAAAGCGTTGCCTGGACTTCTGAGAGAATCTGACCGGCCAGGCAATTTGAGAGTTATTCGTTTGGTTAGATGCCTGAGAAAGCTAATGAATATAGATCATGTGTTTTCTTCTCTGCTGGAGAGGTAATTAATTCATTTTCTTAATTAATAATACCTCAAATATACACAAATAAACATACGGTCACAAAATAAAAACATATAAGTGAGTTTTCTTAATTTAGAATATGCTTAAATTAATGTGTTTTTATTTATCTTTGTATAGTTAACATGTATTTTTATAATTTGATTAACCAAAATATATAATTTAGTAAATTGTTGTCACGTGTTTAATATTAGATAATCACGTTTAATAAGATTAAATAGGAAATATATTGATAAATTATGTCTTTTAGTATAATATATGATTTTAATACTTTTGATTAAATAATGTGAGGATAAATAAAAAATAAGTAATCAATATAAGAAATCTTAATCTGGATTTGGAAAAAATAATGGTTATGAACAGTAAAAGATCATTTCCATGCCTATGTGATGATAACGTGGATGTAATTTTTTTAGCAAACATGTGTATCTTTTGTGAATAATAAAAGAACAGGACAACAATAGTTAATAATAGAACAAAAGCGGCACAGTGCATCATTAATGCTCAGGCAACCTCACGATCATTCAGGCGCTCGTTTTTGCTCGCCTGGGCCTGGCGTTGTTGCCTGGTACATGCATATGTCCAGGTTCGCAACCAAATGAGTACCAGGCAACATCTGCAGCTCAGGCAAAGTAGAGCCAGGGTGTTAACCAAACACGCCCTAGGTCCCGTCCCCCCTAGTGCGTGGCGCTGCTGTAATGCAACAACGTGCACAAGAAAAATTGAAACTTGCGGCCGGGGAAGGGGAAAGCACCACGAGAAACAGAGAGTACGCAGTGCCGTCGTTTTGCTTGCCTCTGTGCACGATCCGTGTCAAAATGCTTTGGTTTGTAAACCTATGTACACAACTGCTATGATTCTCCGGCCACCGGGTCTTATGCTCTTATTCCCTTGTATACAGCCGTGGATGTGAAGCTGTGATCGAGCTCCTCCGATCCACGGAAAATAATAATCAAGGCCTTCAAATAATAAAAGGGTGTACAGTGCAGAGAGCTCCCGCCAGGCTAAATTTTATCGAGTTCGTCGTGTCTGATCTGCCGTCCTGGTTTGGAGATAGATCGTCGAGGTTTTTCATGGTTATCGATCAAGCCTTATTGCTCGTCTTGTTTTCCGGTGACTCCTCGTCGGTGTCCGGCTCGTTCAACGGGTGCACTTTGATCGTCATCTCGGTCTCTCCCTTCTTGTCGTCATCATCATCGTCGTCGTCGACCTGCTTGAAGCTCGCAAGTGTCGCCAGCTCGTCGACGGCGTCCACGACGCCCTCGACCCTCGCCGATATCTCCACCAGCAGCGACGCCACGGTGAAGACGGGCATGGTGTCCATCAGGGACGTCGTCTCTGCCGCCTGCAGCTTCACGGCCAGAACGGTCGACGGCAGCGTCCGCATGTCGCCCTGCAGCTCCTGCACGGCCGTGTTCATGTCCGTCACCGCGAAGTCCAGGGCCCCGGAGGAGGACGTGGTCATGGTGGCGACGGAGCGCGACGCCTCCCTGAGCACCCGCGCGCACCACGCGCCCACCCGGGTGCACACGTCGCGGAGGAGGCGCTTCACGTGCGGGGGCGACTGGACCTCGGCGCCCGCGCAGCTGCTCAGGGCCTCCACGCAGTAGGCGCACGCGCGCATCGCGGCGCCCACCTTGGCGTACTGCCCGTAGGGGTGGCGGAAGCCGAACCGGCCGTGCGCGGGCTCCCACCGCGCCAGGTTGGCATACGAGTCCTCGGACGCCTTGGAGTTGAGCACGCACTTGTACCCGTCCGACGACTTGGACTGCCGCGCGGCCGCCGCCTCCGCCTCCGCGAAGTAGTCCTCGACGCAGGCCTCCACGGCGTCCGCGAGCTTGTCCATGTTCCGCGTGGTGAGGAGGTGCAGCTCCGCGCCGGACCACACGGGGCAGATGAGCAGGTTGACGGCGAGGCACATGAAGATGCCGATGCCGATGGTGGACACCCGCTGCTGCGCCAGCGCCGCGAGCTGGTCGACGCGGTACCCCGACACGGCCACCAGGCTGTACGTCAGGATGAAGATGGTCACGCCGTAGTCGAACCGCGCTTTCACCGTCGGGATGAACCGCGAGAAGGTGGCTGCCGCAGCTGCATGCACATTCACTTTTGGTGTCAGTGCTGCATGCTGTGATTTTATACAGATCGAGCGAGCGGGGCTTGTCGATCGTTGTCGGTTAAGAGATTACTATCACACAAAGCAATGACAAATGCAAAATACGTACCCAGCAGAAAGAGGGAGCCAGTGACGATGACCGGCTCGAGCTCGCCGGATCTGTCCGCCACCCAGTGCACGCCGAGCGCGAGAACGCCGGCGCTCGCCGTCGCAACGACCCGGTTGAAACACTTGTACACGCTGCCACCTGCCCATGCAAAGACCAGCTGGTCAAGACAATATCCACGCATGCATGCACGCATATGTATGGCAGCTCATCTGCGTGCACTGACTCTGCCAAGCAAAGCCGGTCGACTCACCGACAGTGTACTCGAAGACAACGACGACCGTCATGATGGCCCACATGGCAGCCCCACCAACGCCGTCGTACAGGGGCCTGGTGTAGAAGAACACGGAGACGAGCGCGAGCGCCAGGCCGACCTTGAGCCCGTGCACCGCCTTCCGGGGATCATCTGCCGCGATCCTCCACACCTTCCTCGCGAACCCGGCGACCCTGCTCCACGCCTTGGCCAAGCAGGCCAGCAGCCACGCCCACGCCCTCGCGGCAGGGCCGCCGGCCTCGTGCTCCATGGTCACCGACGCGCCCTCCGGCACGGTCACCCGCCATTCCAGACCACTCTGCGCTTCCCTCGCGGCGACGTCCATGCTGACCGGTGCACGAGCGCGGCTGCCAAGACCGGTTGGGTCCCTATTGTAAGCGTGTGAGAACGCAGCGACAGAATGTGACCCCTGCAGTGTATTTGGTACTGTGGCTGACTGCTGTGAGTGAGGTTGACCTCTCTCTCTCTGTGTCTGTTGGATGCTCTTGTTGCTTGTTTGTCTCACTTGCTCCTTCCAACAGAGGAATGAGAGAAAATGCTAGGCTTTCTTGATCTCCTTGTCATGGAATGTTGTGAGAAAGCCGGAGACTGATATATATATAGCAAACTTGGGGGTATTGGACTTCGACGTAGGGCACAAAAAGCAGAGATTAGGGAAGACCAACCCGGCGCACAAAAGCTGCACTGCACGCAGGCCGACGACTATGTGCAACAGCCATACATGCATTTTGGAAAGCGGATTGGCCACAGAAAAATGCGCGCGAGTGGATGGGCAATAGGATTGCTAGTGTGGTAGTACGTTCAGATAGGGCACGATTTCTTATCATCCTAGCTAATATATGTTTGTTCGCCACAAAGTTTTTTGTGGGTTGTTTTTTCTAGTTTCTGGGTGAGAGCGATTTTGATCAGCCAATGTAGCTAAAGGGCCTTTGTAAAGCTTGCTATTTGTGAGAATGCCACTCCACATTGGGGATTCAAATAAATGGCGCTGGTAAAATGTGGCCAGAAGGTCTTAAATGTTTTTAGTGCTTTGTTAACTGCAGTAGTTGAAATGAATCGGAACTGGCAAAACAAGGAAATGATAATGCTGTACGTTTTTTTTTTTTTGAGAAACATGATAATGCTGTACGTAAGAGGACAGAACAATGTTGGGCCGGACAGTACCATTCGTTCTAGGCCTTCTTACATAAGAGATCATGGTCATTTTGCTTACCTCTTGGCCATCAGGTAGTCTTTCTTCCGCGTCATTGACTAGTAACAACCTCTCATGGCTTCTTTTGCATCATTGATCTCGCTTTTGGAGTTGTCTGGTTCCTAGGCATATAATTTGCCAGAACTAACCTTAGATAAGTATAACTAGAAAATTTGAAGCCACACTATCATCTAAGAGAATTTGCCCTTCTTTACTCTGACATATGGAGCCCAAAAAATCTTGTCTAAGTTTAGTTAACAACTAAACACTCGTCGGTATGGTTAAACTTGCCACCTCTTTTGACTTACCATAATTTGAGAAAAGATGGTTAAACTTGCGAAGAGACTGTAACTATATATTATGTTAGAAAAACTACAGGAACCGTTTCTATTGCCAACTTTATTGCATAGAAACGACATATTTACTTAATAAAAAACAACATATTTACAAAGTTTGTTCGTGACCGTGTCATGGCAAATATTTCATTAAGGACTACAGGAAGCCCCTCGACGGGGATTTAGTGGCAAATTGAAACCCCGTGCCTTCCCTCCCCTTCCCTGGTCACTGTTTGGAACACAACCAGCTCTGGGCAGTGGCAGCCAAGCGAGATAGAAGCGTTGCAGCGTGAGTCGCGAGATGCGAGACAAGGAGCGCTACCCGGCGTCACGAGGCCTGGCGGATCTCCACAGGGGAAACAGTGTCTCCCGGGACCAAGGGACCCGAATCGTGGGCTTCAAATTTGGCTGGAGAGAAACCCGTGAGAACTTTCCGCGTGGGTTTTCTCCACGGGGAACAGCCTGGGAACCTGGAGGGATTCCCTGCTGCCAAAGTAGCCCTAAAGGGGAAACACATTTACAAAGTATGATTATACAAAATAAATAAGAGGGAGAAGAACTAGAAGCACTAACATAAGATAAAAGCATAAAACCACAAAAAATAGATACAAAAAAATGAAGAAATTGCACCACACACACATAACTTCTCCAGATTCTAACGATTGTAACCATAATAATATAGTGCTGAAATCTTGAGTCATGGCTAGCATTATGATTCAAAAAAATGCATTAGTTGATGAGTTTTCATGGAGAATGCACATGACAAAGAAAAGTGGTCAACATTAGAGCAACTCCAAGAGATCATGTAAAATTAGATGCTAAAATCCATAATTTAGCCATTGTCTAAAATAAAATACCCACCAAAAAACTAGAGTAACCCAACAGCCTGTCTAAATTTTCGGTTCTCTATTTTTAAAACTACTACACATCATCGGATTAGATCGCTCATTATCCTTTCAGTTACCAGCGGCTGCCATCTCTACTCCTCGCTTCTCGTCACTTCCCCACCGAGCTCCATTAATTTTGCCATAATAGCGGCAGCAGCAGCACAAAGTGTCGAGATGGGGCCGGCGAGATCAAGCGCCAAGCGGGCGGCAAGCAGCAAGAAAGACAAGTGCCGCGACGGGATGCGAGATCGGATTCCAGCGAAATCAAGTGCAGTGAGATCATCTTGTTTCCCAAGCAGCATGGTGGCGAGCTATTGGAGCGCGGGTGCACGGCAGGAACTCGCGAGAAAAATGATCCACACACGTGGGAGGACACGGGCGCCGCGCGGGAATAGGTCCGGGGAGGCGGATGGCAAGCCGCTGCGGTGTGCTATTTCTAGCTAGCGAGGAGCACGGGATAGAGCGCTTGCTATTTTAGATTGCTGGATAGAACGATTTGGACCTCTATATCTTACCAAAATATCTAAATTTAGATTAGACAGTACAAATAGCCCATCTCTTGGAGTTGCTCTTAGTATGTATAAGAAGAATATAAGTGAATTACTCCTACCTAGTACCTCAAAAGCAATTCCTCAAAAAGCAAACTTGGGTTTAGTTTGCATTATCTTTCATAATGACAGGTTGGGTAATTTAGATATAAATTTAGATATTACTTTAGTATCTTCATAATGAAAATGGTAGGGGTGGGATACTTTAAATTATTTTTTCATAATGGTATAGGTCATTGAGTTATATGCAAATTTAGGGGGTTAAATGTGGGTAACTTCATGTAAAACAGAATAGGTCCGATAGTTGTATTGATGATGATGGGTAGAGTCTACAAAATCAAAGACCATATGTTTATGATTATTGTGAGGATTTTTAAGGTTTTTTCTAACGTGTCTCGTGAGGATTATATTAACATAAAAGTTCCTTTTAAGCCTTCAATTAGTAATAATGAGATAAGATAACATTCGATGTGATAAAACATATAAACATGATGAGAAAAAAATTAAGGCCCCTAAAACATTATAGACATACAAATGTGGCCCTAAAGGTTAGTTCTGTTTCAAGAGAAATGTACTTGGATGAAAGAAGGTCAAAATGCAGGCATTTTCGCTCCAATCGCAGCCAAATTGGATTTCAAGAGCATATTCGATTTCACGTAGGCCCTAAGGGAAAGTGCAAGGAAAAAGAGCAGAGAAACCACTGGATCGTGGAACCCGTGGTACTACTTGTACTTGGGCTAATCGCACTAGCCGGCAGCCATCTGTACCTAGCCAGTCATATCAGTGGATGCACATGCACCGCTGTTTCATACTAGAATCATAGTCCAGTTTCCTTTGCTTTCCTTTTCCCATAGAAAAAAAAGGATGATCTTTACTTGGGAACTTTTTTTGTAAACCGAGGGGGGAAAAGGTTTTTGGAAAGCATGTGCAGCACACAAGAATTTCATGATGATTTCACATGGTTCGTTTCTTTCTAATGCTAAAACAAAGCAGTGCTACCTCCACCATTGTGTTGTTTTAGTCTCTTCCTGCGAACCGAAGAAATGGTTCCAAATAAACAATTGGAACCCGAAACTGAAATGGATAAAACATGTTTGAATTCTAAACTGGAAGTGGGAAACATATAGGAGTAGTAGTTTTTCCAAGAAGCTGAAATCCTAGCAAACAACGTGGGAACAAAAATCAGTAGTGCTTATCTGGTTGGTGTTCCGTCTCCACTCTCCAGATCAGCCATGGAGTGGAAGCAACCGAGAGCTGCAATTATCTTGCTAGCGTGCTCGTGCCTCAGCTAGTGGCAGCACGCCGCAGCTGTAACCAACAGAGCTGCCGGCCGAAATATCCATCGCGATTCACGCGCCAACTCCAAGTTGCGAGCGACCGGCGACGGGCCGACGACGGCGGCCCCCCCTCGGTTCCCTCCTCTTGGTGGCCGACTGGCCGTGTCCCTCCGCAGCAGCTACAGCACCGTACCCCTGCCGCACTTTCTCGTACGCGCCCCGTTCTGCTTCCGGCGTTGGGAGTCAGTCAATGCTCAATGGTGTGGATAGGATGGCGCACAGTGGCGAGCACTCCCCCACTCCGATGGATAAACGTACGGCCGCCCTGTTCGCTGGGGCTGTTTGGCTGATAAGTCATGCCTTACTGATTTGGTGCGAGAGAAAAATACTATTCGTTAACTGAAAAAATACGATTTATAAGTTAAACAAATCCAAACAAAAACATGGTGAAGGACGCCCGGACACCGGAGTCACTGAAGCCCAGACAGTCGGATTATGCATGTCAGAATCGCTCGCGGCGGGGCATCCTTTGGATCGGCACGGGGACGAGCGTCGAGCGGCCGGGAATGCATGCTAGCTACGGTGATGGAGCCACGCACACGCACGGAACGGATCGAGATGCATGCTAGCTACTTGTTCGAGGTGGTTGTGCATTTTTGTGATAGGTCGCTGTCTCTCTATTGCTCGTTCTGGAATCTGGATTCTGGTGGAGTGGAGTCCACGAAATTGCAGATTGGTTCGGAATGACTAGACTAGGGTGCAGTGGGCCGTGCAAGTGATGTGTACCAACCATTGCAGTAGCCTCAAAGTGGCACACTACTACACATAGTTGCCGTGCAACAGGACCGTACAAGCAGTACTCCGCCGATGCCGTCCGCTCCGTTTGAGATATTTCTAATTACTTGTGATGTTCCTTTCGGTAACTGTTACATCTGCAACGAAATTCGTTGACACCAGCGAGTTAGGTACATAGACATACTCCAGAAATTAGTTTATATCTACGGCACGGCTAGCACCTGAACATGTGGACGGACGCGCGTCTGGACGCCCGCGCAGCCTGCCCCATCCACTAATTCGCTCCGCCAC